GTGCGTTTTCGGTACCGAAATCCTGAACACACGTCGGGATATAATCACCCCCCCCAAAAAAAACGACCAAGTAAAATCCCGAAATCCCGAAGTGCATTTTTGGTACTGAAATCCCAAACGCACGTCGGGATATAATCACCCACCCTTAAAAAAACGACTAAGTAAAACCGGAAGTGCAATTCTGAGGTATTCGTGATTGCCCATAACTTGTAATTCTCTAAAAAAGGACACTTCATTGTTCTCAAAATACGAACTCATAAATGAACATTTTTTCTTCGCCAAACGTTTTTAGCGATTTCGCCAACTCTTCGTAAATAAGCTTCGCTATCCAATTCGACGTATTTTCCGGGGTCTATTGGTCATGAGTGTTGCACGGGGTGTTGCATCCTTTCAATGTTTCCCGGTCATTTTTCTGACTTCTCATATGCTTCTCAATGCTCTGGGATTGCCTGGGGTAGGTTGGATTAGGCTCCTGAGGGAGAGGGTGCCTCTCTACCCATAGGTCCCCTAACCTCTCACAAGGACTCGTGGAGCGACTCATTCAATCATGGATACATAACTCAAAGGAAAGACTTTCGTCATGAATGTTTCTTCCAACGTTCAAGAGCTCACATGCCGCTGCCCATAAAGTTAGCCAACCCCCAATCTCTTTCTTACTACCCAAAAAACTCATGTTTCCCAAATGGAGCGAGTACTTATACAAAGTAGCCCTAATCACTCACCCTCTACTAGCTCCCGCAATCCAAAAAGTAGTTGCATTGCAGTCCTTACAAGGAAAAATAAGGAGACAGAGTTCGAATGCAAAGACAACATTACAGACTCGTTTTCGTCTAGATCCCCGCTGTTTTCCTTTTTTCTTTCCCTTAATCTACCTAACCATCCAGAATGATATTCTAAGTGCAAAAATCTCTCGTGCCCATTCCCGAAGAAGCAACGACTTATATGAACAAACATTCGTTATGCAGTCCTTAGCCGCTTCGAGCTTAGCAGTTGTCTCATCACAGTTCATTCGGAAAGTTTAAATGCGCAAAAGAAAAGATAACAGTTCTTGCTGCCCGGTTACCAACCCTTCCCCGATTCTCGGTTATTCCCATTATGCCTGCTGTCCCTTTTTACTGTCCTAGTGCCCTGCGCCGAGCCTCCCTCCTTGCACGGTCCTCCATCTCTTGCTCCATTAGCCTCTTTATCGTCTGTAGATGACGAAGCGTTTCTTCTGAAAAGAAGGTTGTTGGGGATATGTCTTCTCCCCTGTTCAACTTTTCCTTGCCCTTCATAGCCCACTGATAACGCAAACTACTGGCCCATTGATCGAACCAATCGCTGAAAGTTGGCCCGAATTCTCTTTTCCATGGGTCCTTTTCTTCCCCTGGGTCCTCCTCTCTTCCCCGATCTGCCCTTGTGGGCGTTGTTACCTCATCTTCATCCTCGTCGCTGGTGAGGTCAATGAACTCAACGGGCTCATTCTCTCCCGGCCGCTATCCTTCCTCTGGGTTCTCCTCTTCCTTACTACTAGGATCACTGTCTGAAGGCAGCTCTATTGGTTTCCCTTCCTTTAGTGGTGACAGTCCTCTGGTTCCTTGCTTTCTGCCCCCCCTGTTCACAACTAGGTTGTGATTGAACCCCACATACAACTTCCTTTTCCTGGAGCTTGACTCTCCACTTGACGACTGTCCCTCTTCCAGCCTGTTAATTGCATTGCCGTCATTTTCATTCCCAAACTCAATTTTTTTCTTGCTGCCTTCCTTCTTCTTGCCTGGCCCTGTTCATACATAACAGTCACGGTACCCCTCATACACACGCATTCCCTTCCACTCCCGTTTGCGGCTCTAGAAGCTTCCCTAGAACTCTTGCTTGCCCCCATATAGTTGGTAGCCCCATTATCCCTTAGACCCCTCGACACATTGTTCCAACACATAGGTGCCCCGTGTGTGCAGTCCACAGCATCACCCCCCCCAAAAAAAACTATGGTACATTGTCCCAGCCCATAAGTACCTCGCGTAGACGGTCCCTAGCGTTACCCCACAAAAACTATAATACACTGTCCCGTGCTCCCAGGCCCAGTCACAGTCAGCCCAGGCAGTCTCCCCATGTTCCACAGAAGTCAAAACACACAAACGAACAATCCATGTGGTCATGATCACTTCCACAGGGAGGCGGCCCAGAACTTATAGCCAGTTGTCTGCCTTTCAGGCTGTCAGTTCCTTAGTTTCCCTGTCCTGGGCCTCTTGTAGCCACTGTTCCACTGAATCGCTGCTCAAAAATCTGACCAATCTCTGTCCCGGAAATGACCCTCTTATGCTAGTCCCATCGAGATCCTCAAGTTCAAATGTATTCAGTCTCACCCGCTTAGCGATCCTGTAAGGCCCTTTGAATTTTTTTCCCAGCTGCCCGGACCATGTGCTTTCAAGAGGCGAGTTCCTAACTAGCACCTTTTCCCCCACCTGGAGTGGCTCCTTCCAAATGTTCTTAACCTGGTCCCACCTTGCTTTATCTCTCATTCGGTTGTCCGTCACGCGATTGACTACTTCTTCGAGTGCCTCCTCATTCCTGGCGGCCTACTGACAACGTGCGGTGATTAACTCTTCCGTGCTCAAGTGTGGGTCGTCATCTAGCCTGTTCCAGGTAGGGACCAAAGCTTCTATCGAAAAATCGATCTCGCTTCCATACCAGAGTTCTGCTGGAATACATCCCGTTGTTCTTTTTGGAGTCATGTTCTCGGCGAAGACTGCCTGCTTGAGAAACCATGACCAATTTCCCAAATTATCTGCTGCCAACTTTGCGATTGTGTTCTTCAAAGTTCGGTGACCCCTTTCTACTGGTGTATTTGCCTCAGGATGGTAGGGCTCGGTGATCTTGATCGGTACACACAGTGTCTTAAGCCTGTTCAACACTTCCTGGTTAACGAATTTTGTCCCATTGTCTGCTATAAACCTGCGCACGAAGGGGTGTCTTAGGTAGAAATCTTCCACCCAATCGGCCACTGCTTTCCCCGTCTTCTTTTTGAGGGCTACGGCTTGTACATAGCCACTAAGGTTATCCCTTGCATCCAAGATGCATCTAAACCCATCCGTCGATACGGGCATAACCGCAAGATTGAGGTGAACAAGGTGTCCGGGTCCCAGTACACTAGTGGGTCTAAGGGGCTCGTAGACTCGTACGGAGCTCCTCTCTTGACATATCAGACACGTCTGACAATACGTCGCGACCATTCCTGCCATTCCTAGCCAGAAGTACAGGGGCACGATCTTTGCAAGTGTCCCCTTGGACGACTGGTGACCTCCAGCTAGCCCATCATGCATTGCCTGGATTACGTCCAGCTGCCTAGACCTCCCACAAACGACACGCCTAGGTATCATCATCCCTTCCTCTTTCTTGAACAGGTGGCCATTTTTTAGGACATACTTTTCGATTTCCTCCCTTGCCTTGGGACTGACTTCCGTGGGTTGTTTGTTCCCTACAAGTAGCAGACCGATTTCTTTGAAGACGCCCTCGTATATATGTATGAGGAAGAACTCCTGTTCCTTCTGATCCGTACCCTGCTCCTCCCGAGTGAGGTTGACTAGATACTGACACTCCTTCTGCGCCCAGGCTTTGGCCAACGTCATCACGGCGTCCCGTCCCCCCTCCACGGTCATTGCCATTAGTTCCTCTTTGGCCCCTACTTCTGCTCCCCACGAGTCCTTTTCCTCTTTGCGTCTGACCGTGGTGACTGGAATTTCCCTGAGTTCTGCAACCACTACAGGTGCGCCCTTTTTCAAGGTCTGAATCAGCAACTGACCTGTTGTAGTTGCTGGATCTGCCATCTCATGATCCACAACAAGGGTCCCTCCTTTGTATTCCAGGAAGGCGTCAATTGGTTCCGCGTCCTCTACTCCTTCAGGCGTGATACATACCCTGCTTAGCCCATCTGCCCTATTTCGAAGCCCTGCAATTCGCTCGACCTTATAGTCGAATTGCCATATGAAGCCTATCCATCTGCCAACGGTCGGATCTATAGGCTTGTAGTTCTTTCGGGCCCCGGCAACGTTGGTGGGATCGATCCTTAGGATAAATCGCCTTCCGAACAGGTATGCCTGAAAGGTCTTAAGGCAATGCACAATCACTAAGACCTCCTTCTTGAACTGTGAGTACCGCCGTTCTGCAGAATTTTGGGTCCTACTTTCAAATCTGATTGGCTTTTCCCTGCCCTCCTCGCTTTTCTGTATCAATACTCCTCCAACTGCCAGCGGTCCCCCATCTGTTTCTAAGATGAAAGGCCGTCCTACCTCGTCATTGAAACAGGGTGCTGCTAGAGTGACCTGATCGGATGACAGGATGTCTTTCAGGGTCTGGGCTGCCGCTTCCCTATCCTCGGTCCAATCCATAGTGACGCCTTCCATAATCATTGCGCAGATAGGCTCTGCTATCTTTGCGAATCCTTTGATGAAAATCCTCCAGAACACGACCACCCCTAGGAAGGCTCGTACTTCCATCGTGGTGCGCAGGGGTGTCGGCCACTGTGAGATCTTATCCGTCTTTGCTGGGTCGGGTCTCCTCTCATAAGCTCCACATCGAAATCCCAGTATGGTTACTTCCGGGACGACCAGGATGCTCTTGGAACCGCTTGCAGTAATATTGTAAAGAAGGAAGCGCTGGAGTAGGTCCTTAATATTCTGCAAGTGGTCCCAAACAAACTTTCGTACGCCCGGCTCGACCTCCTTCTCGTCCTTGTACCTTGCGCCTTTTACGGGATTATCATTTATATATGGTTCACACTTTTCCGGGAACATATCCCCTGCGACGGCAAGCATCCTTCTCTACGCCTCTGCTACCACATTTGTAAAGCCCATAGGGGTCACTTGCATCTGCAACTGCCCTACGGGGGTGTGCATTGCGGTGTACGGTCTATCCCTCGCATCGAGTGGCAACTGATCATATCCTGAGTACAAGTCTACCAGGGAGTAAATACTCCGCCCCGCATGAGATTCTGCCAACAAGTCGGCCTGTGGAAGCGAGTCTGCATCCCTAATTGTTACCGCATTGAGCTTCTGCAGGTCCTGGATCCACCTGAGCGTCTTACTGGGCTTCCTGAACATGAACCACTTGTTTGCGTAGGGGGATGCGGTGGGTTCAGCCACGAAAGAATCTATCTTAGCTCTAAGCATGTCGGTGACCTCGGCTGTTATCCCAAACTCATAGGTGGGCCCTTTATCATTCCAACACTCATGCTGTACGGTGTGGATCCTGACAGGGGAACTAGCTTTGCGTCCAATCGCCCTTTCTGATGATCATTGAAACCGAAAGCTAAATGAAACTCCTGGCATGCCTTTCTTATCAACTGAGTTTCTTCCGCTGTTAGAAACCCTTCCCCTCCTATTTTCATGGTATCTGCTACCTCATCCGGTATGCGATGCCCTTCCGTTGCTCGTCTCTCCCTTATAACCCGTAGGATCTCCTCCTCTTTCTCCATGGCTTCTTCCTTTGATGTTTCTACAAGGATCGAGACCGGCTTGGTCTTCTTTCCTACAGGTTTGTATTTTCCCACACTGCCTTCTGGGATCGTTTTCCTAAAAAATGAACGGTCGGGATTGGCCTTGCTATTTTCATGGTACGGGGTTGAATGCTAAATATCTTCCCATTCAGGCAGTGGCCTTTTTCGAACCTCATCCTCAAACTTGGCAAGCGCTGTCGGGTCCACCCTTACTTTGTGGTACCTGATTGCCTTAACAAGTTGCAACTGGTCTGGGATTTCGAGCGCTAGCTCGGGGATCTCGTTACGGCCTTCTTTTGGCTTGGGCAGGCTGGCCCCAAGTTCAACTTCCTACTCCTTTTCCGCCACCATAACCCCCAGGGACTCGTCCTCAGGCCTTCTCTTCTTTACGGGCAGACCCATCTTGATCCATTCCTTTTTACTAAAAGCCTCCTCGATCATAATTTCTACCCTTTCCCTCATGCTTTCCATTCGTGCGAATGCCCCCTTGCGCGCACTTTCTTCGAATGTTGGAGACCAGGTTGCCAATTTGCCCTTCGGAGGGTCCCCTCCGGTCCCAAGAAGTCGGAGGAGTTCCCCGCGGCCGGTCACTGGGTCCTCTATGTCTACCATGTATGTGTCGTCGTGCAGATGCATTCCTATCATTTCCACATTGGCGCACCATGGTCTCCCGAGGATTACATCGTGATCTATTTCTTCCATTACGGTCATTCACTGAAAGGACTAGATGGATTCTCGGATTCCCGCCCTGACTGCACATTTGGTGACATACCCCGTGAAAGGAATTTCGCCACCGGCTCCCCGGATACTTCCTGCTGCTTCCTTGTTTACCGTGCACATTGTGACCGTTGCGAAATCTCGTCGTATGAGGGTGATTTCTGCTCCGCCGTCCACTAACGCGTCAGTGTGGTGAGTGCGATTTGAATTTTAACTTTCCCAACTGGTAATGCATGAAAGCTAAGCTTTGTCCTGGGGGGCGCCCTCATGACTTCGCCACCTTCACGGTCCGGTAGGCTTAGGCGGATGTCCGCAAAGGCTTTCTCCAAATCTCCCAGGCCCCCTGGAATGCTTTGGAGGTTGGAGACTCCTTGCGGCGCCTCGGCCTCTTCCATGTCCTGCTCTTGTAGTTCCGGGGCCTCCTCTACCTCTACGAGCTTACGCGTTAGCAACTGCCTGAGTCCTTTAAGCAGCCTCGGGCTGACTTGCAGCATCGTCTGAAAGGACACCGATACCATGGTACTCTATAGCTTACTCAAGGTGCCATCGATTTCTGGCGAAGTCAGGATCGAAATTTGATACCTGAACTTCTTATTTGCCGCCGCAGCCTTGTCTACCGGTTCGTCCTCCCTTGGTTTCCCATAGACCTTCTCTTGTTCCCCGGCTTTGGTCTCTTGCTTGTGCTAGTCCCTGTGAGTTCTTCCATTACTGTATCTTGAATAAGCTTCTTTTCCGCGCCGGCCCGGCGAGTGGTAATATTTACCCTATCTAGGATAAAATTGGTCTGTGGTCCCCGTCCCCTTGGCTGGTCCCAGACAATCTCGGCTATCAGCTCTGCTTCTACGGCAGCTATCTCTAAGTTATTCAGGAGGATGACGGCTCACCGCATCCCTCCCGGCGAGTTCCAATTGACACGCTCTCCCTTGGGTTCGAGGATCTCGCCTTTGAGGGATCTACTGCACCTCTGCCGCTCTATATCGTGATTGAGTCTCGGACAGGCCCGTACGAAGTGCCCGATCATGGTGCAATACTTGCATTGTTCGTTGGCCGGGTCCCTCCTGCCAAACCCCCGGTTTGCTACAGCTGCCGGAACCACGGCCTCTTGGGGCGGGAGGGCGGGTCTGGACACTTGCGCCTGCATTACTAACAACACATTTTCCATTCTGTCCATCTTGCTGTCAACCCCGTGCACCCGTTCGTGTAGGCTCTCTATCCCCTTCTTGACTTTATCCCCCGTTTTCCCGGTCAGATCTATGACCTCCCCTTCCTTGAGCAGGGCTAGCGTCTCGGTGACCACTGTCTTTTCCACGAGGTCTGTTACGGTGCCGAAGTCCACATCTCTCGTGTATTCGAACTTCTTGGTCTGCTAGTATGCTGACAAAATCTTATCTTTATCAAACTCGGAAAACTGCCTGAGGAAGTATTTACTCATTATGCGGTCCGTTACCCCGGGAATTATTAGCGCCACTAACGTAAATGCCCGTAGGAAATCGTTGTAAGTCGCATAGTTTTTCCTCTGGACTGCGGCTAATTCGGCCTCTGTCGCCATTTTCTCTGCCTTTACGTATTTCCTCATCATCTCATTCGTGGTTTCTTTCCATGATCCACTGGAGGCGACGATGGCCATAATGTCCCTTCCCAAGCTTAGCGACACGTGCTGCCCTAGGTGCTCCATCTTTTCCTCTTCCGTCCATTTCAGTAAGGCTGCTAGGTTCTCATAGTCTATTAAAAACTCCGTAATGTTGGCCCCGTCGAACATGAGTTTCTTCTTTGCATCTGCGAGATACCCCTGGTTCTTGTTTAGTGTTCTGGTGAGGGTGGCGACTACCCTCTCGAGGCCATCTTCGGAGCCACTCGCTTCTCCGGCCGCACTGGTGCCTTCCCCTTCCCTGCTTTCCCTCTGCTTCTCCCTGGTTTTCGGTGTTCCTTCTGGGTCGAACCATCCTAGCACTCTTTCCCTAAGCTTCCAGAGTCCGTCACATGCCCCTGTTATTTTCGGCGTCGCGTGCAGTCTGCTAGTGCCGTTGTCGATGGCGGGTGGGGTCATAGCGTTTTTCGTTTCCTCCGTCGGGGGGTCGTTTTTGTCCTTCCCCTTCTTACTAGGCATTCCTTTGTGGCTATTATCCTTCCCCTCATACCTAGCCTCGTCCTGACCGGTCCTGCGTCCTTCACGTGACCCTGCGCCCTGGGGGTCTTCTTCATCCTCGACCATCATCTGCTCGATAAGCCTTGCCTTAAATTTTGTAGTCTGCTTTTCTATCTCTGCCAATCTATGACTGACATCCGAGACTTTTGTCTTTTTAGGGGTGGCTCCTGCTGAGTTTCGAGGGCTTGTTCTCATATCGTTTCCCCCTTCCCTGTTTTCCTGAGGTCTCCTTTTGCTACAACCGGCTTTCCCCGAGCTTTCTCCAATTGAGGCATCCTTTCCGTCTTCTCGGGTTCCTTCCAGTTTGGCTGACTCTCAATCTCTGGCTGATCTCTCGTTTCGTTCCCATCCCCATTTGTGCTCTGATTCCCTCCGCTCTGCTGGTCATCGATTCCTTCCTCAGTCGCCATTTCTTTACCTAGCCTGCACATGGAAAAAAAAAATTGCGAAAAAAAGTGGTCGGTTGTTCATAACTGCCCTAGTCTCGGCCCTAACACCCGCCTATTCTCATGTTTTTTGCATCTTATATTAATCGGTCCGATTCGCCTGACTTTTCTTTCCAAGGGCGTCCTTCAGGTTTTTCTCCCGTTGGGGAACTAGCCGCCGCTGCTTGTTTTTTTTTTACTGCCGCGCTTTGGCTCTTGGGGCTGTGTTCGAGCCCAGTGGTCCTCTTATCAAGGATGGCCCTTTTGGCTTTTCGACCTCCAGGTGCCCCAGAATTTTTGGAGTGGGTGGTCTTCCTAGTTCCTCTGTGCCTCGTCATTGAGCCACCTTTCTCCGAACTATGCCTAAAAGCATATTCCTAAAGAAAGTTTTTTCATGGTCTGAATGGCAGATCGTATTTACTATTTCCTGTTTCAAAATTGGTCTTTCTGAATCTTTGGCTTGCTCTAGTGAGATCGTTCCAAGTATCAGAGCATCCTTTCCCTCGCTTCTCTGTACTGCAGCATTGCGATTTCATTTGAGAGTTATGGGGACAGTTCTGGGTTTTTGTTTCCTTTAGAAGTTTGTAAAGATATCCCTGAACGGAAAAAGCCCTCCACGAGTACGAGTATCTTGTGGCATAAGACCAGTAACAACGGTTACGACGATTTATATTCCCTGTTGCATCAGCAGTAAAATGCCAGTAAACCAATTGGTTCACGGATGCAGAAAATGCTAGTAAACCAATTGGTTTACGGATGCAGTAAACCAATTGGTTCGAAGCTGTTTGATATATCATAAATACAACAATATTGATGCCATGGAAGTAAATTATGGACCTCATGGGCATGAATCAAGAGTGACAAGTGTTCACAGTGATGTTACACAAACTAAGCATGGACCTCATGGGCGTTCACAGTGATGTTACACAATTATGAACCTCATGTGCAGAAATTCAACGTATTAAGTTTTGTAGTCCAGAAACTAAGTATGCAATTATTTGCAGTTTGAGTTCTTGAGTCACTTTTTGAGTTTCCATGCTGCATTTGTTGCAACTTCAGTCTCCTTAAAGTGTATTGCAACATGAATTCTCGTTTTCCGGCATTCATTCTCTCATAAAGACCACCTCTATGATCAGTCTTTTGATCTTGGTTAGAGAGCGGTGGTGGAACAAGGAGTTTCCTTTCTGTGCATATCGTGGAAGTGTGCCGCTTTGTCACATTGTGGAAGAGTGGTACTTTTTGGCATCTGTTTCTGCACCCTAGCTGTTGGGTTTCTGTAGTTCCGCCTTGACGTATCTGTTGGCCTTACTGATCACATTCTGGAGCTAAGCCCACCCCTGTAGATACTGCAGGTTGTTGTATTCAGAGCGTTGGGTTTGTGTTTGTGTATTTTGGGTTTGTGTTTGTATACTTTGAAATACTCGAAATCCAAAATTTATGTTCCTTAGAAAGTTCTAAATGCAGATTGGGATATTACTCCAAAATCTCTCTCTCTCTCAATCTTTTTTTTTTTTTTTTTTCTCTCT